TTGTTTCTCATTAACTTACTCGCTCACTTTCCCTGATTTTGTTCGTACCATTAATCCAACACCCCGTTACCCTTCCAAATATCCAGTTTTCATGAAACAGGCTCTATACTTAATCACTATGAATTATTTATAATTATATCTATAATCCATTTAAAATATGCTAATAATACGTAAATACATGATAAATCGAAAATTCCATTAATTAGCAAAATACATATGTCTTTATCAGAATATATATGTATATTATTTTTTTCTTTCATTATCATATCTCATATTATTGCATTTAATAATATTTTTCTTTTATAAAATATAATATGATATTATATATATGAAATTTAGTTATTAAATTTTATATAAACCTTTATTATGAATCTTTATTTATCGTAAATTTAAAATTTAATTGTAATTTAATTAATAAATATTTTATAACATATAAATTATATTCAAAAATCAAATGAAAAAGAATTTCATTCATTTACTATTAGAACATTATTTTCGTTCAAATTACGCGCACAATTGATTAAAATGAAAAGAAATGGTATGTAATTTAAAAGAAAATAAATCTCATTTAAATAAAATTTTACGATGAATGAATGAAATAGTTTCATAAGATTTTTATAATATAATGAAATCTTGTTATATTTATTAGTCTGTTTCAAAACCATTTAAAACTGAGTTTCATAGAAAACTACATACCCCAATACATCTGCCGAAACTAACCTCCGTTCTTCTTTTAAACGCGAATCTCGCCCAGCAAACGAGTTAGAGAATACGAAGATATCGAAAATAGTATCAAAGACGACGAAGACACCTGATTCACCCACACACGATAAAAATAGTACGGTAATTCGCGTGAAATTCCCAAAACAACGAGAGCAACACCATTCCTCCGAAACTTCACGGACGAGCAAACATAAACATTTTATATCTAGAACGGCAACAATTACATCCATTTCTTCTAAATCGCAATTTTCTATTTCTTAGTTATTTTGAAATTTTTTATTATTTATTATTTCCAATTTAAAAAATATATATTTAATATATATTTTCTAGTAATAAATTATTATTTTTATTTATTTTATTATAATTTTTATTTATATAAATTATGTATATATTTTTATTATGTATTATATAAAATTAATGAATTACAATTTTATTATAAATTTATAATTTTTTTTATATGGAATTATATACATTATGTATATATATATATACATTTTATATTTTATAAAAAATTTAAAAATATAAAAATAATTTTATTTCATCAGTGAAAATAATTATTAGTACTCATATTTGTCAACGATGTCGCTACGTGTAACTTTTCTATAAACTTTCATCTGAGTACTTTAATTCACTCATGCATTTAGCTTTGTATACATATAGATTTATATACGGGAATGAATGTGAATAGTTCTGAAGTTTCAAGAAATGGAATACCGATGTTTATTATCACTTTTTAACTATATTTTATGATATATTTATCAAAAAAATTATAATTAAACATTTCTTATCATTTATATACTCTAAACGATATCATATATTCGTTTATGAAAATATTCTTTATTTTGAGTGAAGTTGCGTAAGGAATAATAAATTTTGTAAAATATGTAAAATAATATAATTAATTTTTTTTTGCGAACGATTTATATTTAACATAGGAAATTATTTATAAAATATTATTGTTCATTAAGTAATATAAATAACCTAACCGGTAAAAATGGCATCATCATTATCAGGTATTTAAAATTTTCTACAATTTAATTAATTTTTCAGTTTTGTTCAAAAATCATCATTATAATTACTATTTCTTTTTATAGCATATTGGGTAAAATTTTTTAAAGGAGCAGGATTTCCCCAAGATGTAGCTACAAAGCATGCAGTTGTGTTTTCCAATAATCGTATTAAACCAGACATGTTACCTGATTTAGACAAACCTAGTCTCAAAGAAATGGGAATTACTTTAATGGGAGATATGATTGCTATTTTGAGATATGCAAAAAAAGTGGTTGAAGAAACAACATGTGAAAGATTCTTAGTTGATACAGAGGATAATGTTGGAACACCCAAACCAATAGTTAAAAAAGTAGCAACTAAGGCAACTAGTTCTACTTCTAAAATAATTAATTCTAAACTTAAATCTGATGTATTAACTACAAAGAAGATTGTTAAAATTCCAACCAGTTCAGTTAAAAAAACTGTTATTCCTAAAAAACCTATATCGACATCAGGTGAAATAATTACTGATTTAGCTAATCAAAAGAAACAAACTATTCTTAAAAGAAAATTGAAAGAAGATAATGAATTTGATAGTAATAATGAAGATGAATGGCAAGAATCATCCAAAAAAATAAAATCACTTGATAATAAAGATAATAAAGTTGGATATACTATAATACTTCCAAAAGGATCAACATCTAGAAGTCAACAAATTCTTAAAAAATCTGAACAAAAACGAACTGTATTTGATAGGTTGGGTGATAGCTCTGTAACTAGTACAACAAACCCAACTGAAACATTACCAACATTTAATATTACTGGATTAGGAAAAGATGTTTTTAAAAGATCTGTAAGTGTTTTTAATCGATTAGGAGATAAAGATGCCAAAAAAGACAATACCATGATTCAAACAGGTATATTAAAAAATGGAACAAATAATACAGGAATATTAAAAACTAGAAGTCCTAGTTCAAGAACCTCAATTCTTACAACAAATAAAATTATAAAAAAAAATATGGGCACAATGCGAGCTGATCAAGAAGCAAATAGAAAAGTTATGTCTAATAATGTTACACAATTAGTAAAAACAACTAAAAGAATTTCTTTTAATACATCTTCAAGAGATAACAGAATAATAAAATCCAATATTACATCCGGGAAATTAGGTATATGATTTAGCATTAATAACATTTTTTTTTAACTTTCTATAACTTTTTTTTTATTGTAAAATTTTTAATTCTTTTGAAACATTTCTTACAGCTTCAGAAAGATTAACTTCGATACCGGCAAAAGCACGTTTAGGAGTGATTAAAACAAACGGTGCTAAACAAGTAACTTTCGATAGAATTACGACAGTAGCACACGTGAAAAAACCAGATGTATTTAGTCGCCTTGGAATTTGAATAATCATTTATATTATCTGTTTCTTATTAAATTAATATATATACATATATATATATATATATATACATATATATGTTGTGATCAGAAATTCTTTGTACAAAGTTTATAGTTTCCTACTACATAAATGAAGATAAGAAAAAAATGATTATTAAGTTATGTTAATTAAAGAGAGAAAAATTAAATGCCGAAATTATTTAAAAAAAATTGGATTATTAACATTTTTTAACAAATTGAAGTATTTATTTCTCTCTCAGTTTGCGATAAAAAAAATTTGTAAATATCATGCAATTTACAATATAAAAAATATCTTACATTAATTACAACAGGAATGAACGCGTTTTAATTTAATAAAGTACATAAAGATTATAATATGTTTTATAATAAAATCATTGATATAATAATTTTAAAATGTAATTGTATAAATGTAAGTAAAGAAAAAAAATACAAAATTTAATTGTTAATATATGTAAAAAAAGTTAATATCAATAGGTTTATTATAAACAAGTAACAAATTTTTATACAAAACAACTTATAATTTTCATTAGAAATTACAAAATACTTAAATCAACAGAGTAATACGTAATTTACATCTATAATTTATATAATTTTCAAATGTATGTTTGTATGTTATCAATAAATAATTTATAATAAAAATATATAAAAATATTGTATGTATTAAAACAAGAATACATATATTATAACAATAATAGAATCGATACACTTCTTTTCCTCCAGAAACAAAAAAATATGTTTTTTTACTTATCCTAAGAGACTTAATATTAAAATATTTTGTCATATCGCATAATTTTGTTATAATTTATACAATATAATTTTTCATAATGAAAAATTATGAAAAATCAGAAGGAATAAGATTTTCAATCTTGTAAGCTTCTAATTTATACTATATAATTTATGAAAATATTTTATATTATTTAATTATTTAATTCTTTAATTTCAATTTCAATTACCATAAAACTCGATCAGTGGATGGAATGTTCCATATTGGTTGAAAATCCTTGGGATGCAGCTGAAAATTATAAAAAATTCAAAATTTATAATTATTAATAAATTGTACATATATTAACAGTAATAAAATGTTATTCCAATATAAAAAACGAGTATCAATTTATCAATCATACTCAACCTGTTCATTAATTATATATTTTATATTAAGAGAAGGGGGCGATCATGATTCCATATTTTTCCAACAAGTTCTAATTATAATTGCTCCAAAATACTATGTAACATCAAATGATAAACAGAATGTGTCAGATATGCCAAAGCTCAACTAAATAAAATAAATATATTTGTTATGAAACTAATATAATTTATATATATTACATTTTTTAATTTTAAATATATTTTGAATTATGTTAATAAAATTACAATAATGCCTACCTTTTTGCACGATTGTTGCTAGTAAATCAATGCCAAGTGGTACACTATCCTGTAAAAAATAAATAATTATATTTTCAGAGGAACAGAAGTGTTACGATTTAATATTATACATAGTAGGCAAGAGCTTCATTTTATAGCTATTAAAATCAGACATAATAAATATTTCTTCCAAAAACAATTTTTATGTTATTAAATACCATTATTGAAAAGCAGCAATGAAGTAACCTTCGACAAAAGTATTTTATACTATTACATATTATTAATGATAATTTAAAATTACATAAAAAAATTTATTATTTATAAAATAAAAAGATATATATGCATATACATATATATTATTATTGATTATATGCATATATGGAACATAACTTATATGTACATATATACACATATATATGCATATTACATATATGTATATATATACATATGCGCATGTTATATACATAAATAGTATAAATACTAATAACGCAACTTTCGCTCCACGTGAGAAATATTTCTACGATGATTCAGCAAGAGATAGGCAATATGATGCTGACATACATCTTCTTGATATACCTGAAAATATTAATATATCCACTACTATATATACAATAATTTATACAATAATTTCTTTATTATATTCAATAATTATTGAAATAATATAAAATATATTACTTTCATTAATTTTTTTGTATTCCACTGATCGAGAAATATTTCCAAAATCTTTGGTAAACCTCTTCTGTAACTCATCATTGAGTGAACTTATAATAATTATGATCAATTCCCCCTTCAATTTGATCCCGAATTCTTACTATTTAAGTGACAAATGGAACAAAATTCTAAAGATACTTTGTCTGAATTAACATGAAGACAGATTCCTGTATTATCTAAAGTTTGAGATATTTCTTCTGCAGTGAAAAGATTAGATGCATCATTTAAATTATCTACTGTATTCATCATTTCATCACATTTGGGAAGATCTTCAAATATATCCATATTAAAAGAAGATAATTGATCAAAATCGATACCAATAGTATCAATATCTTTCTTTTCATCTACACTGGACAAATCTGTTTGATTAATTGGTAATAAATTATCCAAATCTTTTGTATTATCCATATAATTATCATCAGATGTTATATTAGTAGTTGATGTTATTGTGTCTGTTACATTTTTATTTTGAAGATTGCTCTTATTGTCAACTTCAATATTTTTAGAAACAATATAAGTATGATCTGAATCTAAGAAAGATGAAGAAATTTTATCCATGTTTGAATTCTTACAAGCAAATCTCTTCTGAGAATTAATATAAGATTCACTATTAGAATCTTCAGTCGTATTATGTTCTATCAATGAATCATTATTGACATTTGTAATAAATATATTGGTATTTTGATTATTTAATATATTCTCCTTCACATTTGTATAACATGTACATTTGTGTTGCGTATTTAATTCATTTGAATATTCAGAAACATGATTTGAATTCAATGAATTCTTTTTTTGTGTACTAATTTTTTGAAGGCCATCATTGATTGTTCTTAGCAATGTAGTAATACTGGTATTATTGTTTAATACACTCTTTAAATAAGCAACTTCACCACTTAATCGTTTGATATCAATACCTTGTTTTTTTATAATATTTACTAAATTTTTGTTCTCTTGCTGATAAAATGATAGTTTATTTTCAATCTTCTCTAAATAAGCTTTTTTCCTAAGTCGATTTTCTCGAGCCATTAAAGCATTTCTATTAAGGCAAGGTCTTTTAGAAGGACCACGGCCTCGCTTTCGTGGTTCCACAAGAGTCTCACTTTCAGTTAAAGCTGGTTGTTGCGTATTCCTTAATGATTCTCTCAACCTCATTTTATATTTTGATTCATATGTATTATTTTCTTCTGATGAATTTCCCCACTTAATATTATTTCCTCGTAACTTTCCTGACATTGTTGAAGACATCGATTTATGATGATAGTTATGATGAATAAAATAAAATTTTGTGAAAACAATCCAAAATCGTAATATCAATATCACTGTACAAATTAATGATTCGTTATCGTGTACGTCAGAAAATACGCAATTTCTTCCACCCAATTGTATTTAGCCCAATATAAACATACTACAATAGTACGCAATCTTGAATCTCTAAATGTGATGTTTATAGTGGCGCCATCCCAAATGTATTATAACAAATTTAATGATAAGCAAATATGCAATAAAAAAATTTTTATTTTTAGATATGATTGATAATTTATATTTTCTTATTTTATTACGAATATTTAAAATTAAAATTCTTCATTTATTTTTTTAAAAATTTAAGTTAAAATGTGAATGAAACTACTAGAACTGTCTACTAGAATGAACTTGTAATTCATGACTAAATTTTACTAGTTAAATAGAAAAACGGGATAATTAAATGATATAATAACCAAGAAGAGCGGTTTTTAGTTGAAAATGTAATTTGAGAGATAATAAAAACATGATGTTTTTAAAAAATATAAAAGTGACCTCATTTTATAGTAAAAAAATTATTTTATCTCAGAATAGTCTCCTAAAAATTCCGAGACGTAATGGTTATTTGATTCTGTATGTACATATATCGTATCGCTACTTTATTCACAATAAAAATACTTATTCACAATAAAAATTATATAATTTTATTATTTTTATATAAATTTTTTATGTATAATTTTTTTTTTACAATTTTTTTAATATATTTAAAATATATTGAAAATGATTTTATTATTTGATAACAATTAATTTAAATTTAGTGTTCCAGAAATTGGAGAAGATTTACCAGGAAAATATCCTCTATTAAAAGAAGATAAAAGTCCGGAATTTACAAATATTACGATAGAAAAATGTATTGCTGTTATTGGAAGACAAGCATTAGAATTTGAAGAAACAATTAAAACCTTAGAAAAACAAATAGAAAGTAATTTTGCTTATTTTATATATATTCTTATTTTTAATTTATTAAATTATATATTTTGCAAAATTTGTTTTTAGATGTTAATGATATTTCTTCAGAAAATCTATTTAAAAATATATTAAATCCTCTAGAGGAAATATATACTTCTTTGAATATTACATGGGGCATTTCAAAAACATTATATTTAGGGAACCAGAGTTTAATGCCTACACAATATTATATAAATATTGATGGACGTGCTAGAAGAGCTTCTGCTTCTAAATATATTAGTGTACCAATATATCAAGCATGTAAAAATGTTTTCAATAACAGTCATAACAAATTAAGTGATGAACAAAAAAGAGTTTTAACAAAATATATATTGGAAGGAAAATTAAATGGATTAGAATTATCTGAAAAGAAAAAGGAACAATTTTCAGCATTGAGATTGTGGTTATGTGATAAAATTAAAGAATATTCACAAAAATTAGAGGTTTGTAAATATGAACAAGTTAAAAGAATATTAATTGTAATTATTTTTTTTTGTAGACTGCTATAAATCATCTTAGTTTTACTATAAGAGATCCTGTACTAATGAAAGATTTTCCTGAAGAGTTACTGAAATCTATTGCACCAGATTCTACAAAATTTCTTGTTGGACCATGGATAATAACTTTAACTCCAGATGTTGTAGAACCATTTATAGGTATATATTTATTTATAAAATTAAATAGTGGTTAATTAATTATATTAATTTTTATTTTTCTATTAGAACATTGTCCTGATCGTACTTTAAGATGTAAAGTGTGGGAAACAAATGTTATTAAAGCATCTGTATTACATGATAAATCAGTACAAACAAGCACAACTTTGGAAGATATTAGACAGAAGAGAAATCAAGAAGCTAATTTGCTAGGATACAAATCATTTGCTGACTTAAGTATGGAAACTAAAATGGCAGCTAGTGTGAAAAATGTTTATCATGTGTTAAATACTTTATTAGCTACAGGTAAAATTTTTATTTTATCTACAGGTATAATTTTATATAATTAAATTTAAATAAATCAATAACTATAATATTTTACTTTATCTCTAAAAGCTCGTCCTGCTCAAGAATATGAAATTAAAGAACTTCAAGCATTTGCAAGTAAAGAAGGTCTTGAAGGTACACTTCAACATTGGGACATATCATATTGGGGTAGACTACAATTACGAACTGTATATGAGTAAGTATAAGATAATGTTTAAAAATATTTAACAATAAAAAAATATGAATATATATATAATAAATACATAATATATAATATGATTTATAGGTATAAGGAAGAGGATTTAAATAATTATTTTCTTCTACCAAAAGTATTAAATGGTTTATTTGAACTGATTGAAATTTTATTTGATGTAAAAATTATTGAAACCAAAAAAACAGATCTTTGGCATAAAGATGTTCGATTTTTTGATATTTTTGATATAAAGGAATCAACCACTGATCCATTAGGCAGTTTTTATTTAGACCTATATGCAAGGACAGATGAAAAAATTAGAGCATCACAGAATTCAGGATATACAGTCTCAATACAAAATAAAAGTAAAATATGTAATATAAAACCATTAATTGCATTAATATTCAATTTTCAACCACCTATGAATGGGAAATCTTCTTTGCTTTCATTCAAAGATCTCCAAACGCTATTTCGACAGGTAAATGTATAATTATTACATATTAAAATAATATTTCATATTATAAATTTTTTTTAATATTAACTTTTTTTATTTAGTTTGGACATGCATTGCATTATTTATTAACAAAAGTGGAATACACAGATATTGCTGGACTTTCATTCATAGAATGGGATGCATTATTTATTTCTGATTATTTTCTTGAAAATTGGTATATTTATTCAAATTTTTGTATTTTTTATAATTCATATTTACATATGTACATACATATGCATAAAATGTTTTATTCTTTTGTTTTCTAGGTTATATGAACCATTATTTTTGCAAAGAATTTCATGTCATCAAATTACAGGAGAATCATTACCATTAAGTATGATTGACAAGTTGAAAAATGCAAAAACGCATTTATCAGGTTATAATTTATGCAAAGAATTATATTTATCACAATTTGATTTAGAATTATATTCTAGGTAAGATTGAATATAATAAATATAATAAATATATATATTTATATGTTATATTTAATTTCTTCTTAATTAATTTTTAGTAAAGAATTTTGGAATAATATAATGAATCGTTTATGGAAAAAATATTTTGTACTTCCTCCTAATAAAAAGGATAGTCATATATGTTCTTTTGAACCTATATTTAGTGGAAATTGGGCAGCTGCTTATTACAGGTAACATTTTATAAATGATATATATATATGTATATATCATACATATCTTTTTAATGGAATATAAGAAAAAAATTTATATTTTCAGTCATATTTGGTCAAAAATGATTGCTGCTGATTTATATAGTGCTTTTCAAGATATCTCTTATGAGAACAAAGAATCATTAAAAGCACTCGGTAATAGATATCGCGAATCATTTTTAGTTGTAGGTGGCACTTATTCTACACGTGAAAATTTCAGAAAATTCAGTGGAAGAGATCCTAATCCAAAAGCTCTTTTGAAAACTCTTAACTTAGATATAAAGAGTAATATGTTAGAAACTAATACCGAGATATCTCAAAAAAATAAAACAATGAACAATGAAATATAATTTGTACAAAGATAAATAATGAAAAAATTTTGTTTCTTATTTAAAAAACTTATTTCATTACAATGTTATATAATTTTAGGGATAAAAACATCACGTTTAGATATATAAATAAATATTTATTTTAATTTATATTGTATTTTTTGTTTATAAATATAATATAATTTTTATAATGAATACTGAAATTAGTAAATAGTTAAAAACGTAAAGTGCAATAATTTATAAGAATATAATTTTTATACATATTTACAGAATATATTAAAATTACATTAAAAGAGATACCTATTGTTCTTATATATAATAATCAAATACATTATAATATAATAATCAAAAATTATGGAAGTAAAACAACTGTGATAATACAAATAAAAAGAAAAATTATTACTATCCAATAGCCACATGTACGATCTTTAAAACTAATAGTTTTCACGTGATGTGTCCTGTTAATTAATGATTCATCAGTTCTATCCATATGATCAGCTAGATGATCAATTATTTCTATAAATAAAAAAAATTAAAAAATTAAGAATCTCTAAAAAAAAATTTATATTATTAAATTTTTAAATAATAAATAATATTAATTTTAATTTACCATTTTGATGATTTACTTCATTACTAATAGTCTGACCAATTTCTTTTTGTCTTGCAATAACTTTACATAACTCCTCTAAACCTTTATTTTGCTCTATAAAAAAATAAAAGAAATAATATTCAGCAATCAGAAAGCATATTAAAATTTCTACCTTCTAAGGTTCTATCTCGTTGTGACATAAGATCAGCAATGGATATTTGTGTATCTATAAGTTTATCATCATCACCATTATCATCATCATCAGCTGCCCAAGAAGTTGTACCTCCATCTGCAAAAGCTGATGTCCCTGATGTAAGTAAATTTGCACGAGAGGAAGCAAAATTATTTGTACGTGCATCACACAATTCTTGTAAATGTACATCCCTACTCTTCAGTATTTCTATTTGACGTATTCTTCGTTCTGCTTCTTCAACAGTTCTACATATCTTTGTATTTTAAGAAAAAAGTATTAAAACAATAAATTTTTAATTAAACCTTAATCGAATAACTAAGAAAAAGGATACATGGCTTTAGACTTTAATGCATCATCTACTTTATCTTTAAGTTGTTGAACTTCACGATTATATTGTTTTATACGTATTCGTATATTTGCAGATATACTTGCATATGCTTGCAAAGTTTTTGAATGTTTATTGCGTGCTGTAAATTGTTCCATAATTTCTCTGAAAAGTTTCTCACAAGCATCATATTCCGTTAACCTACATAATTTCACAAATTCTTAAACAAAAATTCAAATTTCAAAGATGGACAAGAAAAGTCAAAATTAGTTATTCTTACCAAGGATCATTGTCTTCAATATAAACGAGTGCCATTTTTGCGAAATTTTCAAAACTATATTAAAATATTATTCAGATGATATATTACATATAAAATTTTTATATATTCATTATTAAAGTTATTATTATTATTTATAAATAAATATTATATTTTTGAATTATGATCTTTTGAAATTGATAAAAGTAAGATAAAAGTAAAAAATCTATATTAATTTTTGTTTAATGTTTCATAAATGAAAGAATACGAATTCACTGACAAATAATGAATTTTTTAAAATTGAGATAAATTATTAATCAAAATAAATTTTTATAAAGTAACGCGATATACCTTATTCAACGATTTATCATCAAAAATGATATATAACTATGAATAAGCGCATGCGTATGCAATAGTAATTAAAGAAAATCATGGAGGGGGTTTAGCATGAAGGAGAAGGGCAAAGAGATCGTCTATAAAAGTGAAACAAAGAGAACCAAAGGAAAGATTTGCGAGTGGAAAAAAGAAGAATATATGGTGTGGTGGCAAGACCAGTTATATTTTTATTATCAACTGGCATATTTTGTAAAGCTAGTTGGGTGAATATGTTTGACATCTGAGAGCAAACGAAAAGAGATGTGAAAAATGTCGGATAAAAGTGAAACTCGGTGATCTAAACTGGACAAATATATAACAGTGAAGGAAAGAAAATTCAGTAGATTATTAACGTTGCTTTTTGGAAGGTCACGATCATCACCACTGCGTCAGTAGATAGTTAATTGAAAGAGGGGAACCTGTGAAGCTTGATCTCATACAGGTCAACACGTACGCATGATACAAAAGAAAAGGAGAACACGTACGGTGAAATAAGAAGAGATCGCACGTATGCTACAATCCTTTGAAAAAACTTACGAATGGGGCACGGGTGCGTCTACGAGATGAAATTTTATGCACGAATGGAATACCTTTGTTATTGTTGTGCATATTGATTTTTAACGCGCGAACCATAATTTCGATATTTTATGTTACAGAAAGATGTTTATTATTTTTTTTATTTGTGACTGTGATTAAAACGAATATTTTTGGTAGCTACAATCATCTTTCTTCAATAATGCCAAGTTATTATTATTGTTTGTAACATTAACTTTTCTTAGATTGAAATATGAGTAGTACGGAACCATCTACAACTTTGATTGCTAATATGACGTCCACAACTGTCACTGCAATTTCTGAGAAAACAGCTCCAATTTTCTTACAAACACGAGCAGCTCAAGGTATTGCTGGTGCATTTGTTTGGGTTGCATTATTTTTAACTTGTCAACAGGTATTTTGTAATATATTTTAATATATTATAATTTTATTAACTGAAAAATTAATAATTTTTAATTTCTTAATTTTTGATTTCATTTCTTTTTTAGATTTATCAACACTTAAGGTGGTATACTAATCCAACAGAGCAAAGATGGATAGTTAGAATTCTGTTTATAGTACCAATTTATGCTACTTATTCTTGGGTGTCTCTACTATTTTTCTACAGTGAAAGTTATTATGTTTATTTTTTTACTGTTCGAGACTGTTATGAAGCATTTGTTATATATAACTTTTTGTCATTATGCTACGAGTACCTGGGTGGTGAAGGAAATATTATGTCTGAAATACGTGGCAAACCTATTCGTTCTAATTGTTTATATGGAACATGTTGTCTAGTTGGGAAAACATATACAATTGGTTTTCTTAGATTTTGCAAGCAAGCTACTTTACAATTTTGCTTGGTAAAACCAGTAATGGCATTTGTCATTATATTTCTTCAGGCATTTGGTCATTATAGAGATGGAGATTGGTCTCCAGATGGAGGCTATATTTATATAACTATAATTTATAACATTAGTGTATCTCTTGCACTTTATGGACTTTTTCTTTTCTATTTTGCTACAAGAGACCTATTAACACCATTTGAACCTGTCTTAAAATTTTGTACTGTTAAGAGTGTTATCTTTCTTTCATTTTGGCAAGGTAATATGAGATTATTTAAAATATTATGTATCAAAAATATTAATCTTATTTTATTTCAGGAGTATTATTGGCTATTCTTGAAAAAGCAAATGTAATTTCTCCTATAAGCTTAGATCAATCAACTAGTGCAGGAACTGTTTCTGCTGGTTATCAAAACTTTTTGATTTGTATTGAAATGTTATTTGCTGCTATAGCTTTACGTTATGCATTTCCTTACCAAGTGTATTCAGCTGGTTGTGTTACGGATTCAAGAGGAAGAAGTGTAACAATGCAAAGCATTAGCAGTAGTTTAAAGGTATATTATAACAATTTTTAAATAATATAATAAATAAAACAATGAAATTGATATTTTAATATTTATAAATAGGAAACTATGAATCCAAAAGATATAATGACTGATGCCATCCATAACTTTCATCCACAATATCAACAGTATACCCAGTATAGTTCTGGTATGTATGCATTACTTATTTTTATTAAACAAATTTTTTAATTAAATATATGTACATATAAATATTATATTTTAAATTGTTGATTGTACATTTTCATATAGCATGATATAGTGAATGATGAATCAAAATCATATTTCATATATTATTTACTTATATTATTTAAATTTTATATTTATTATACGCGTAAAATATAAAAAATATATTATAATTATTAAAATATTTTATTCAAATTTAAATTAAACAAATAAATATATTTATTATGTTGTTTTAACTGTGAATTTTAGTTTCTTAAATGGTAAACATTTATCATTTTAATATAATAATCAATATACTTTATATTATTACATAATAATTCAATATACTTTACTGCCAGTCATTAAAACAATAAAATAGTATAAATTCATTTATATTTATCTTTTGCAATAAAAATATAATAAAATATTTCTTGAAAAGATAATATTTTTTACCATGAATTTGATTAATATGTGCCAATTAAAATTCTTTGAAGGCACTTTCTTTTTACTATTTTTCAGACGTTAATACCAACTTGCCGTATGAAAAACTATGAAAACACGAGGCATCGTTTTTTAATTTCAAGAAATTGGACATGAAGCATTCATATATTTTTAATGGAGATTAAAAAATTTTTTAATATAATTCATTAAAATTTACATTATATTTTAAGTTTAAATCAAATTTTAGAGTGGACATAGTGTTCTCTGCTCAAATTATGATTTAAGGTTTATATTAAAACCGATATACATAAACATATACATAATCATATGATTTATTAATTTTGCAATTAATAAAATCTACTGTATAATAAAAAATAAACACTTAATAATAAGAGCACTTAGAGTACAGTGTAATTTCATAAAAAAATTTACTTTTTAATAAATGCAAAAGACAAATAATAATTGATTACTATTCTGTGGCAGTATTGTAATTATATATTATTTTATAAACAAAATAATAATTATTAAAATACATATTGCTATTATGTAATGCTTTTATATTTAAAAAAAAAAAGCATGGTTTATATTTCATTTAGCATGTTAATATAGCTATATTTTTCATATATTTTTTTCTTATACATGTATTTAATAATTTTCTTAAAACTAGTAAATTGAATTCTTTATTGTTATAACATGCATGAATTATTTAATGGATATATAATATTTGTAGTGATGTATTGAAAAAATAAAAAAATGCTGTAAATTGTGCTATGTGTAAACAAATTTTATCAATTCACATATAAAATAATACATAGCCTGTAATAATTGATATTCTAAATGTTTTGAATGAAAAAGAAAAAAATATCGGCATGATTTTTCGCTGTTCGCTGGCTGATTGATATATTTATTAGTAACGGCTTTGTCAGCGATAATACGTGATGTAATATAACAATCAGGAGCACCTAAAGGACAACGTGGTATGCGGATATCCAGCTTCGATCCAGATGATCCACAGAATATGACAATACCACCACCACAAAGACGGCATACTTCTCATCAACGTGTTGCTACAATTTCTCAAAATTATAATGAGAAGACAATGCTTTTGAGCAGTGATGATGAGTTCCAATAGATATAATAAATCATGTACAAAAAGATACAAAAAAGAAAAAGATCGAAAAGTACATTAATGTTGGACTTCCGTGAAATTAATTTCAAGAAAACACTATGTATACTATTAATTGATTATACGTCATTAGGTAGGAACTTAACTCGCTCACAGAACAAACAAATAAACAATTCGGTGATGTAAATCATCACCATATAATAGTTCCATGTTACATTCGTGTTAATACATGTATTATGTTACATCATGTAGCATAGAAGATATTTATTTTAATATGCTGAACATATTTAAGGCAATGTTACCTATAGAGGTGGCTATTATAATAATATAACAATTTTTATTTTAAAAAATAATTTATGTTTTTCAGAGAAAGGCATTGTACAGTACTTAATGTTCAAATACTCACAATATGTTGCTGCATTATTTATTGTAGTTAAACAATATTTTTACACTCTGAACAAACACTATGTATATGTTTATATACCAGTATTTCTAATTCATATGAGATTACCGTGTAATTTTGCCAGTAGAAAATACTTATTTTATAAAATACACTAAGAAAAATACTTCTAATTATTGCACGCGTCCGATATATATATATATATATA